TCATCGCCCTGATGACGGAGGCAGTATGACCTCTGAAACGTTGGTTAACATCGACCAGACTACACAGCGCAACAACCCAGAAGACAGAAATCTTCCTGTTGAATGCTCTTAAACACGTGTATATACAATATCATGCATACACGTGCAACACCGCCAACTACTCTCAGAGAATGAAGCTATATACTTTACAGCAAAATGCTGATAAGATTATGTGCACTAGAAGCCTAATGAGAATATTTGGATTCAAGACACGTGCAAAAGAAGCCGAATGCAGAAAATTGTACAACAAGAAGCATATAACTTATATGCTTCGCATTTGTCTTTTGCAACGACCGGACAAACGGAAAAAATAAATGTAGCGTGCATGGACAAAATAAGAAATACGTACAAAATGCATGTTAGAAACCCTCGTTGAAAAAATAATATTTAGGAGCAGACTTGAGGAGGATGATATAAAATTGAACTTCGGAAAACAGATAATGAAGATGTAAAACATGGTGATTAGTCTCGGGATTTGATCTAATTGGCACACTTTCTTCAGAAAGTGATTTTCAAGATGTGTTATGAAACTAAAATGTACTGCTATTATATTTTCACACTTTCAAAATTTCATTTTAAGGGTCGCTAAGACACGGTTTCTTTTAAAACGGTGAAGAAAACGAAGCTGGTTAAAAAATGCCAGAATGTCTAAGATCGAATTTATCGAGAATAAAGGTCCACTATCTACAAAAAAAACACCACTTATACTTAATAGACAGCAATAACACAACCACTCCTTCATGTTCCTCGCTTTCGATTTCCGCCCTGTGCGCATCACTTGTCTTAACGAGTGTGGTGGAACGTTCACGAACCCTGAGTTCATCACGTCCGTCAACTGTCTTCCTGTCTAAATATTTAATGGTTCGTTGTGCAGAACGAAATTGATTGGGAAGCTAAAGTTTCTACACACATGAGGCAAACGGCCACATGTTTATGATAGCGCCATGTTTCTTGAGCAAATATTTTTGGTACGTTTAATTTTTCTCCGTATCAACTCAATACAACCTTCACTCTACGTGAAGCTAACATAACAATTTTCTCAAAAATTGCTTCCCGTACTAAAAATACTGGTTCGTGGCAGAGGCAGTACATAGGTCCCGGTTAAGTCACATAATTTTTACTTGAAACTTTGTAACTAACTTCATGCAGCAGAGGACTTCAGAAGGCAATAATCGCTCTAATATCCAGGAAACTCCCTGCCATTTTTGGAAACCGAAGGTCCATTACCACGTTCACAGGCAGTCACTTTCCTAAGCCAGATAAATCCACTCGACAACCTCACGCCGTATTTGTCTAAGATCAATCTTGATTAATACCCTCCCTTCCACGCCTATATTTCGCAATTGGTCTCCTCCCGAAACATTCTCCAAATAAAATTCTTTAGCCCACCCATCAAGCCTTTCACATACGCCTATATGCTACTGATCACTTAAATGTGATTTATATGAAGAAGTGTACAGGTACACCTCGGATATGATGGAGGTTCCTGGTTAGCACCACGCTCCAGTTGCTCTGACCCTGGGAATAGGGCCCCGGTACCCATTTAATAAGAACCTGATTGAACCCCAGAGCTGAAATAGGTGCAGTTTTGGGGATAATGCAGTCCCAGCCAGTATACGAGCCACTTTGGTCCAGCCCGTAACCACTCATATTAACAATGTCATCATTTCAGAAACACACGCTACAAATAAAAACTTAAAATTATTTTGAGATATTGTTTGGATCGTATATATGCCACCACTCGAATTCAAGCGATCGACTTTAATGCTATAAATAGAACATAATCGCCAACACACGGCAAGATGAGATTGGTCTTACAGAGAAGGGGTGGTAAAACAGTACTATCCAAAACGTCCTTTTGTCATTGTTCCATTTCCTATGAACTAAGGAAGCATGTGTGAACAGTAGATTCCATCCTGAATTGCACCACAACATTACAGACCACCCAGCGAGCATAAAATTATAAAACCAAGTCTTCCACCCCCACCCCTCCTAAACCTAGAGCCAGTGGCATATCAAAACCCTTGTACTTCCCTCCATGTGGACACCACACGACACGGTTCCGAATGGAATACTAAAGACGAAGCTCTGAATGGAATTTCTCTCTGCGTATTTATATTCAGATATTGGACAGTAAATGCAAATAGTTGTTCTCGTTTAATCAACAAAAAGGGCAAGAAAAAACAAAAATAATAACAATTACCCACAAATATAAATATGCCATTTACTGACTTGTAACTACAAACTGAAGACCCGGTTCATACCGAATCTCTGTCTCAATTCTTACCCTAAGGCAGGACTTAATATCTCCTGGCTTGCTTTATATGATTCGTAGAATAATGCAAGTCTTAATTTAGGTTAAGGCA